GTTATAAATTGATATTTGTAACAAAGTAGTCAATCTCATTTCAAAATTTCTTGTGAGTATGTAGTTTTTATATAATTTTTTTTCTTAACAATTAACAAGTTGTTTATGCAACCCATTATATTGCAAGCTGGATTTATTAAGCAAATACATTAAAATTTTGATTCATTGTAATCATTATAACACAGAAAAAGAGAAAAGCCTTTGTAGGAAGTAAAGAGGTACCAAGATTCCCATAGTAAAATTATCATATTAACAAATATTGCAAATATAATAAATTAAAAGAATTTATCACTTTTTATAGAAGACTTATATAAAATATTAACATACATAGTACATTTTGGGATTCCTCTCACTGTAAAGTTTATAATAACTTAATGTTAATCTTGGTGTAAGTGAAAATTGTTCACATCAAGATAGGAATGAATATCATTGTAGTAATATTAGCATTTAAAAGTGAAAATTTGATTGTTTCATTACCAAACTTTAGAAATTTTTTTTAACTAAAAATTGTTTCAGAAATCAAGTTGCATGTTGTACATTGAAAATCCAGCATTAATAATCAGGGATTAATATAGGTTTTACTGACAGAATATATACAAATAGGACCACCTGGCTTAACCGTGTTTTTTTTTTTTTTTTTTTTTTTCTTCTTTCTCATTGAAAGACATAAAGCGGGCATTTTTTTAAAAGCATTAATGGAATGACTGGAGATTTAAAGACATGAGTATAGAAGTTTGTTTTTTTTTTTTTTGTTTTTTTTCTGCAGTATTGAGATAATTCTAAGTCCCTCCAAAATTATCAATCAAAATTTGTAGGATGTGAGTTATTCAATATTAAATTTTTAGAGAATTATGTAAATGTCATGCCCAGAAATCATTAAAAACAGAATCTACTGTATTTAGTTTAATTTTTATCTTTTTTAATATATGTTCAAGAATATGATTAAAGTGAAACTGTAATTTTATTGGAAGAAGGCATTTAAATACAAATGGAAAATTACAGAATAAGATTTTCTTCTTGAAAAAACTTTTATAAAAATTGCCAGTTTATTTTACATTTTATGTTAAATATTCTATTTGCTTAAAGATAATTATTCAGTGTGCAAAAGTTCCCATCCTTCTTTTTTGACAAGACAATGCATGATTGAAATCTTTTTTGCCAGAAGTAGTTGCATGCATTTATGAAGGACACTCTTATTTATTTCTATAGAAACTAACAACAACACTACTGAATAGAGAAGGTTTCAGCTGCAAAACATTATTTTTCTTCATAACATCATTGGGTGTGTATTTTTGCCAGCAATGACCAATAAGAATTGAACAACAATTTGCTTGCTGCACTTAGAATGTGGTTTGTCATGCACTTCATTGTCACTATTACTGAAACACACTACACAACATGTAACTGTGGTTACATTCACCATTTGGTCTCAGCAAAATGTTCAGCTGGTGTCAATCAATGGATGGTATTTTTTCAACATGAAAGAATTCAGTGACACAGCTCTAATTTGTGTGTACTTTCATGTCATATTTAATTTTGCCAGACAGCAATTCACCTGCTATCTGTTACAAAGTTTAAAAAATAAACAAAAAAAACATTATGGGTTATTGACAGGAAGTTCCACCTTTTATTGTAATAGCCCCATCTGCCACTGATGTTGTAATAAGATAAGTGTCAGTGCTTTTAGCACAATCTTTGTCATACAAAAAAATTTTAATTTTAAAAATGAATTTATTTTTTTTTATTATTCTACACAGTCCTTTAGTGTATTTAACTTTCAATTTTAATTTACATATTTCTGCAGCTAACACAAAAAAATGTTACGAAAAGTAGAATTTAAATAATACTTCTGTATAACATATGTAACAAAAATTATCCTCCAACTTGCTCCCACATTTAGTTATATAAGGATTCAAGATTCGTATCTTTCTGGGATTGATTGTTTGAGTTGACGGGTTAATTTTGTGGGGATAATACCAGGATACTATAAAATTTTGAATTATATTTATTCTAAAAGCAAGTAATTTTTTAAAATGAAAAAAATTGTTACTTCTCTAATAATAGTAAGCAGGTTTTTAATAATGGAAATAAATAAATACATATATATATATATATATATATATATATATATATATATATATATATATATATATATATACACACACACAACATGAGCACATGGAAAATGAAGGTTGAACAATTAAACTTTTAAATAATTGTAGTTATATCTGAATGTTGAAAATGTAATTATAAAAACTTTATTTTGTTTCAATAAACAAAACTAGAAATATTTTTTTTCTATCAATCTCTGGTTCAAAATCTTTAATGAAACATTAAGCAATATTTGTTATATTTCCTGATTATAAATTAAATTGAAAGCAAATCAGAATTTAAATAATAAACAAACAGAAAATTTAGTCATAACATGATCCAGGGCACTGTAAACAAGACTTTTAAAACTTTTTTTGATAGTGAATAGTTAGACTAAAAAAATATCACAATAAAATTAACTAATTTGTTTTTGTATCTTGTCATTTTTAAAACATTAATGTTTTAGTTTTTTTAATTTATTTCCTAATATTTGTAATAGTGTTATTATGCTAATAACAAATATAAGTGATAACAAAATTTAAAGAAAATATATTTTTGGGTGATTTAAGCTGTTTTATCAGGATGTTTTTGGAATTATGGTGAAAAAAAGTTAATCTGGATCCTTTACATACATACATACATACGTGTGTGTATATAAAGGGTCCAGACTAACTTTATAAAAAATAGAGCATGAGTGCTGGTGATAATAAAACAGTGCTTGAAGTATAATAACAGACCTAAGAATAAATATACATTTGTTCCTTACCATTTGGTGTAACTCTGTTTCATGCCTCATGATTGCTTTATCCATGAAACCCGGTTAAACCAAATAGTAAAGAACAAATGTATATTTATTCTTATATATATTTATCATCTACACACTCCTTTATTTAAATCTTAACAAGTAAAAAGTGCAAGTAAGTGATTGTTTTGACGATGTTCTCTTCATCATTTCTTCTTCAACTTGTTCTTTTCAACAATTTACTCCACACCATCTCAATCTTCCATTGTTGGGAGTCTATGGTATACAGGAATGGATGTGCTCATGGAATCAAAAAGTATGTGTGTGCCAAATCTCAGCTCAGTTTATTCAATAATTTTTACTCCCTGTGCAATCTAGAAATTCCACCCCACAACTCCTGACATGCACATTCTTCATTTAAGAGATAACTTCATTTATCTTCATCGTTCTTATGGAATTTTCTTTAGATGGCAAGTATCCAGCATCTGCCTCTTTTCTCTGCATGTTCATCTTTGTTATTAAAACCAAATCTTCTGTAGTTGCTAGTGGGACTCTAGAGCATGTTTTTAGATTAGATTTTAAAAATTGCATAAATTTTCACTTTATTAGTACAGGATTTGTTTTACATTAGGTATAATGCTATCCTTTCTTTTTAAGGTTAGCTAAAATAAATCTTTATCTTTTTATTTAACTGTATAAAGTAGATATGTTGCTAACATTTTCTAACCAGAAACCATTTTTATATTTTTTTTCTTGCATGGAAAAATTAAAATTAAAAAGATTGTTGTTCCCAGTTATCATACAAACAATGACTACTAGGTAGCCATTAATGCAAACCTGCCAATGATTTATTAATTTATAAGTCCTCACAAAACCATAGTCCCATATTATACCTGTGTTTATTGCTGAAATAAAAAAGTGGAATAGATATCAGATTTTCATGTGAAACAGAAGAATGGGAATTATTTGAAAAATCTCATCTATCCACAAGTCCTTTCCTGAATATTACATGATGATTCCAGAGGGTTATTTTACAAAGATTGTTAAGTATTGTGTGGGTTACCCCACTTGACTTTACCAAAAACACTCATTAGGTTACACTATTTAAGTTTATAAAATGGCAAACATATTCATTTTTTCTTATTCCTCTTACTTTCAGATGTAGTTGAATGTAGATAATGAACCTTACCACTGAGACACTTTCACTTCCTTGGTCCTCTGTTGACTGAACTTTCGCACCTACACATGTGTATCACATGCACTTGTTACATACACACAAACAAGTACATTCTCATAGCTAGTTTTAATGTCTTTTCCTCTAATTTCAATTGTGCACACATGTAATTCCTTTTGTTAATAACATGCATTAATTGTTGTTTGTTTTAAATTTCGTTGTTTTGTGTATATTATTTTTACCTGGACTCACATGAGTCTGCCAATATTGAAAACTGGTGCATCATAACCAGCTGCTTTGGGTAAATGGAGCTTGATAGCCCAGGAAGGTAGCCCATCTAGTGAAAGGGAAACCCTGATTTTAAACTTCCACTGCTTTGCAGTCATATCCAAAATGGAAGTAAATCCAGACAGTAAACCTGGAGTGCAGCCCTAAAGGTGACAACTTTCCAAGCTGTTCCCAAATGTAATACCCTATATTCCTTTGGATCTTGTTGGTATGACCAAGAGGGGGCCATGTAGTCTGGGCAGCACCCAGACTCTATATACCCTCACCCAGGTCTGGAGAGGTCACTCTAATTTCACCACCAAAGGACTGAATTTCGACCAAACAAGGCACTACCCTTGTCTCATGAGATAAATGGATTCCTACTGCTACTATAAAATTCTTCATCAAATAGTTACTGAAAATGCTTCAAATATTACATCTTAAACTTATATGTCAAAACTTCAAAATGTTCTCAGATCTTATCCTTCTCCCAACTGATACCACTTAGTTTTGTTTTCTTGAAAGTAGCTTATAAGAAGATTGTTATTCAATTGATTTTATTATAGACACAATTGTCTACAATAAAACCTATAACAACCAAAAATGTGAACAATTGTTCAAGTAAATTATGTAAAATAATCAAGCAAAATTATCAAGAGGTATTAATTCACCATGACAACCAAATATTGAAATCATCTGATACTGAAGTTAAGAGGCTCCAAGGCTTACAGCCATATCATATTGAAACACCAGTTCTTATATGATCACCAAAATTAAGCTATGTTGACCCTGGTTAGTACCTAGATGGGTTACTGCTTGGGAGTACCAGGTGCAGTAAGCTTGGGTTTGTGGGTGGTAATAGATAATCGCTTGGAATTGGAAATTGGAGACCTGAGTTCCAATTCCATTCAGGTTTGTTATATTACGCACAAATACCCTTGGGAAATATATAATTCCACCTCTTCTCTCTCAGCTATTGATTAATTAGTAGGACTTGTATCAGTAAATCATTATTATCTCCAAAAAATTCTTACAATCTAAAAATATTTTCTGGCTTTAAATAAACTTCAAAAGTTTGTAAAAAAAACATCAATGAATCAGTTAAAACACACCACTGTTCTTTGGGATAGGGATATAATAACATAGTACTAGTTTATACTGGTGTCATTTGGAGGTTAGGAGTTCAATCTCAGGATTAGGTAGTAAAAATTTAAAGACTCTGGTTTAGCAGGAACAAAAATATAATATCCCATATTAGCTAAAAAAAAAAAAAAAATGGATAACTGAAGATGGCCAGACGATACTTAACTCAAACATTGTCTATAATAGAACCTATTACAACCAACAATATGAACAACTACCATTGAATATATTGATAATTTCTCATCTCAAAAATCAAACAAAAGAAAAACATCAAATGAATTTTTATAGGATTTCAAATGGAAACTTTTTATTGTTGGTTTAAAATTGTACTAACTTGGTTTGTTTTGCAGAGGTGCCGAATCAGCAAACTCTGACCAAATTACTAAATATTAGAAATCTTAAATCCCTTCCTGGTTGAGCTGAGAACTTTCCAATACTTCATATAAGCAACTCCACCTATTTTCAATTTCTTTTAATATTTATTTTCTTGAATCACTTGAAAAATATTTTATTTAATCTGAGCCCTCAAAAGTAAAAAGAAACAAACTTAGTTGGTTAATTACTAAGCTAGTAATTAATAACCAGAATGAAGTGGTGAGTAATCATGACTTAGTCAACCAATGAAACTGAAGATATTATACTATACTTACTAGTGTGTATTCTCACTACCATTTTGGGTGATGTCATTTCCTTCAGTTACACCTTTTATGCAAGTCTTTTCTTTATTCCAAATTATAAAGGTATTGTATATTTTTCCTTTTAATAAAAAAATTTTTAATTTAAAAATTTTTCATAAGTATGTATGTCAAGATGTACCTCACTTCAAATTCTTCATTTTACACACACATTTATAAGATAATTATGGCACAAAGCCACAACTTTAAACATCCAACCAGGTTCTTATTCACTAACAATGGCCTGAAAGACTAGTTTGTAATCCATTTTTGTTAGTATGTGCACACCTACATATACAGATTTTCTCATTTATCTTTCTTTTCTCTTATGCACTTGTTGATTTTTCTTGCTTGGTTTCTCTAAAATACAATAAATACCTCAATCAAATTTATGACTTTCCTCTTGAAAGTCCTCAGGTTTATGTTTATTTTGCAAGTATTGATAAGTTGATGCCATTTGACTTTTATCTCTTAAAAAAAATATAAACCTAATTAAAAATTATCAGAATTTGTGAAATATTTTTCAAAACCTGAGACATGTATATTTAGTCAAGATTAAACCAGCTGCTTAAATCCTCAACTGATGAGCCACCACACCCAGCTTCAATAAACTTGTTTTCTGGTTCTCTTTTTCAGACATTTGTACTAAATCTATAATTTGAGTGGGCAATGGTGGTGTATTAATTTTACAAAGGATTTGGGAAAGGTTGAATTTCCTGTAAACCAGATGTGAAAATTCTCTTTAAATATACTTAGTAACTTGAAAGTGGATTGTAAATTAGTGTTGTTCAGTAAAGAAAGTATTTAAATCTAAAAACAAATGTCCCAAGGTTGATAAATTCTAAATTGTAATTTTTTTTTTTTTATGCATATTTAAAAATCAACTCACTGATGGTCCAAAAGTCATAAGATAGGTACCTAGTATCTTGTAGGACTGCCTCTAGCCATTTTGATGCAACATTGATTCCACAAATTGTTGAATGACCTCTGGAGTAATATTGAATAGTTCTATCTTGATAGCTTTCCACAGATCCCTGTTGTTTGTAAGTGTAGCAACTTGTGTACAAATAGATCTCTCTTCTACATCCTATAAATGCCCATTTGGACTCATCTCATGTGAGTGTGATGATTATACTATTATTCTTCATCATTCATCCAAAGTCTATAGAAAATTTCTCAAACTAATTCTGGGCAATTTATGACCAATGACACATGTTGGAATAATCTGTCATTGTTAGGATACATGTAGTTCTTGAATGGATGCAAATGTTTGTAAAGCAGTGCAATGTAGCAATCAATGACATGTTTAAGTGGCCCAGCTGACCCAGCCAATACCATCTGAACCCAACACCATTATGGAACTACCAACAGCCTGCATGGTGCCTTCTTGACAACTGGTGTCCATGACCTCATAAGCTTTGCATTACACCTGAACCATTATATCAACCTGAAACAACTGGAACATTGATTTGTCAAACCATGCTACATATTACCAGTTTTGTAGGGTGCAGTTAGTGACATCACAAGTTCAGATGAGTTGTTATGTTGGGTGTCAACAGGAGCACACTGGTAGGTTTTCTCTTCCCATATGCCATGGAGGCTAAATAATGCTGAAATGACCTTCTGAATATACATCTGGCACTTTTGCATTTGATTTGATAGGAGCCTGTGTTGCTTTTCTGTTACCATCAACAATTCTAACCAGGTATCTCGTCATAATCATTAGGGACTCATGATTAGCCACCATAATCTCCATTTCAGACAGTTGTACCTTCCATCAAGTATTTTCTTTTTGGTCACTTACATAATATTCATTAATACCAACACAGAAAAATAGTTGTAAAATTTTGAAATCCCAACTTGAAAACATTTAAATACTTATTTTAGAAAAGGACTTAAAAAAAAAGGTCTAAATAAATTTGCATGTAAAATCTGAGGAGAAAAAGTTTATTCATTTTGATATTCGATGAGGCAACATGACCATTGATTTTGTTGTTTGCATTCTTAAATTGTTTGAACAAGCTAAAACTAATTTTAATTTTCAACATGTAATAAATTTAGTCATATAGGAACCAATAGTCTGAATCATTTTAGTCTTTGAAACTGCCCTAGTATAACCCACACCTCTTTCATTTCTCTTCAGTAGGCAACTAAAAATAGAGCTATGGATTGAATTGGAAGCAAGACTAAAATTTAAATCTCTTTTGGGAATTTTCATTTCATTAATGGTGCTGGCAACCCTTCAGTTATCAAAACTTACAGTAAATCAGATGATAAATTCATATACCAGTTTCAACAATCAAACTGTTCATCTCTACATCTTTCTTAGTTTTAAAAGTATATAAGAGTGTAACCACAATTCTTATTGTTTCATTCATATTACAGATACAAACTAATCATGACAAAGGCTTTCAGTATCTTTTTTTTTGGTTTGTTGATGGAATCCCATTTTTCACCCATTATATTTGTAACCTTTTCAGCTGCCAGTCCATTTCTCTACCTATTGAACCAAATCCCCAAGTGCATTTTACTGCTTAACAGTTCAAAGTCAACTCTAATTGAAGGAAAATTACAGAGATATGAAGTAGCTTAAATTCAACACTTATTCCATTTCTTATCTCTCACACCAAAGATTGACACAGCAGCAGCAGCAACCATCTGTCTTTATTGGCAAGAAAGATTGAAAGAAGATTCTCCTGACAATGCTTTACTTTTGCTGCCTGCTGTTATATCCAGGGTGCATACATCTGGAATGGTATTTTGCAAGCAGAACCTCAAAAGAAAATGGATGAAAGAAAGAAGCAGCAGAAAGAACTTTGTACCCAAGGAAACTGGAGTGCAGACATTATGTGGGGATGACTTCAAAACTTGCCTCCTTACTAAATTAGATTCTTAGCAAAGCTGCACTTCTCTTGGCCAAGTTTTGTGAATATTTTAGTTTGCTGGTAACAATAATGTGTAGTTTATGTCAGTTATTCTCAAACATTTTTCCTGGCAGCCTTTTAAAAAAAATATTGGCCAAGTCTCATATCCTCCACCCTTTTTCTTTTCTTCACTTGCCTAATATATATATATATATATATATATATATATATATATATATATATATATATATATATATAATAAAACACAAAAATTACAGTGACTTTAATAATATGTAAAAGTGAGGAAATACTTTTCAGTACTATTCTATTTATGGAATGTAACAATTAAAATAATCAGTTTTCTTTCACAGTAATGAAATAGAAACAGACATTTCTAAATTGGAATACTCTTGGATATAAGAGGTACTGAAAACTTATTGACTTAACATTTTAAAAAAATGTGAGCAAATAGACAAATATCAGGATTTTGAGTCCTTTCTTGGTTTTCAGCACCAATTTTTGATATACTGTATAATATGTAATTTATTGATAATTCTTTGACTATTACAATAAGCAAAAGTAAATATATAAAAATTGAGGCTGGCAAAGTACTTTTTTCTTATTTTTTTAGTTTAATAAAGACTTGGAAAGTTAATTTAAAAAATGGAAAATCTCCTAAGTTTAGTTATTTGCCCAGACTTATCTCTAGCAAATTTGGAAAGCTTTCTCTTGGGTGCTCAGATAATGTTTGAATTGATATTGCCATAATTTATAAACTGATATATTTACATACCCAACCTTTTTAAAATTCTTTATAAAATCTTATTTATCTCTGCAAACCATGGACAATTAATACTATTAATGTTGGCTTGGATTATTTCACATCTAGTATGTACAAGTGATATTGCTGCTATTTGTTTGAAATGCTAAATTGATGAGCCAAATTCAAATTCTAGCTTAGTTGCATTCACTTTCTCACAAATGCTCTTGGGAAATATATTAATCCATCTCATTTCCCCACCTAGCTCTGAGTGGTAACCAGTCTAAGAATGAAAGTTCTGAATCTAAAACAATGCAGAAGGCAATAGGAAGCCACTCTACTATCTTTCCCAAGAAGTCTTGCAAAGAAAATGAAATCTATGAAGAACCATAATCACC